TCTCATCTTTATGAGATAGATTACATTGTTGTTACCACTTACGTAATCTCGTTATTACGAGTTACAAAGTGTGCGTTATCCCGTTATTTGGACTTCTGTTTTCTCGTTATTACGACTTGCGTTATCTTATTAATATGACTCATGTTATCTCGGTATTACGGCTTAAGATACATGTATCTTGTTGTTACGACTGATGGTATCCCGGTAATACGACTTACGTTATCCCGTTATTTGGACTTCAGTTTTCTCGTTATCACGACTTACGTTATCTCGTTATAACAGCTTAAGATATTTTGTTATTTCGCCATCATTACGCACAAAACTACGCTGAAAGGTGAAAATTCCATTTTAATACTTCAAAATGCAATATCCTTACCCTTCTCAACACTTACAGGAATATTTCATATTTTAAACAAGGAAATACAAGTACTTCCCTCTCCAACCTCAAAAATGGTGATGTTGTTAAGAACGCTTTTATGAAATACTGAAACATGCTACATTCAATCACATATATGGGAACTGGTTCTATTTACACTTGACCGTTTACACTTGTCATCATATCATATAAGAAAATAATAGCACTGTGTGACCTATGCTATAGCCAAAGTATTGTTATATTCGAAAACCAGAAACAATTAAGCAATAGGCCATATAACTGATTCTCAGTCTCGGAACATATCGTTGGAATACACAGGATCGAATGGCAATCGAAATGAGAAAATTGTGCTCTTTACTGTGATGTTAATTGTACTCCGAGCAACATTCCAAATGAAATATTTATAGGTAGATGTTTTCAAATATATAAAAGGACCGGTAAGGAAGCACATGGCATTTTGTCATTTATGGCCAAGTATGCATTGGTATGCTATATTTCTCGTTCTACGTAAACTAGAATGGAGTATATCAGGCTATGAATGCCCATCAAGTCAAGCGTATGAATACACATTTGGTGATCAAGGTGAGACTTCCAACAAAAAATAATCCTGATAGATATAAACGTAATTTCGATATTCTGGGTTGTATTTGCCCATACCTAATTAATATACCAAATTATAGTATACATACTTTTTAATGAAATACCAATGCGCAACAAACGGTTCTTATTTCAAATAAACGAAAAAATGAAATAACGTAATTATTAAAGTTGTGAGAGTTTACACTTTTATATAACTAATAAAGTTAAATTTGTTAGTATACTATTTCATGCAAAAGTTATTTTATGAAGACGTGAGGGGATTTAAACTAACGTCATTATTTTGTTCATCGGGAAAGTGAAACGACCTATTCCTGGTTTTTGTCTTGTTTTGATTTTTTGTTGATACATGAAAATGGCAATATGAAGATAACGCGCGCCATTCTATTTATCTACTCGGATTGGCTTCATTTCAGCTGTATATCCCACCCATTTTGTTGCGGTGATTTTAAGGTTTTGCCATATTGGTATGTACATCAGACATTTTGTCTCTTAATATATGATTTATATGCTACACGAGCATTATGTTTGTATGACGTTTGATTAAAACAACAAATGTGTGATTCATTTAGCTATCTGTGATGTATGTATGATTCCATTGTGATATTTTGTTATGATACAAATATCCTTGTGTTGATTTTAATAGTCGTAAGAATACATCTACAAACCTTAAGTTATCTTCTTCAAAACACAACTAAAAACAAAAAGATCTTGTATCTGGAAAAAATTGAATATACAGAGAGTGTCACATTCAATCAAATCCCTATTTTACTTTTTTTGCAATTAAGAGATACCATCATCTTTGCTTAATTTCTGATCGCCGTATAAGAGTAAATCTAATTAAATTCTCAAACAGAGGTTGTAACTGTCTTATTAAAAGATTTTGAATATGAATGTATAGGGGGACAAACATAAAAATAGTAATAAAAGTCTTCACATGGGTTGCTGCATCTACATCCAGCTGTATTACCATTTGTTCTAAAAAAAAATCGTAATCATGAGATCTGGCAGGATTTCTCAAACGGAAATGAAGTATGTTTAAATTACGTAAATCTCCTACCTAAAAGTATTTGTCATGTATCATTTCTGTCTTACTGATAATTGATTTAAATGTATTGAGAGAAAGAGAGTCTGATGTTTTATTGAGGAAACAAATTATCTATTCGCGATTTTTTTCTGTAAGTGTACGTTAAATGTTGTAAGACAGATAACGTGTTTTACACTGTAATATGACGCCTGCAGTATTCGTTTCACATTTTCTATGAATAATGTATAATCGTTACAAAAGCTCATCTTGGAATCAAACAATGATTACTGGTTATTCATATATCAGTCAATGAAAAATAAACAAGTTCATTGTAACATTTCACTGCGTTGCGATGATCAAAACCTTGAAAAAAAGTGAAAAGGTAATAGGTAAGTCCGCATTTCCCGATATTCCAATCACCAGCAAATTAAAATCGAATTCATCTAGTCCGTGTTGATTATTTACATAATAAGTAGATCTTGATCAAGCGCAAATCGAAAATATCAGGAAAATCCAATTTGCATATTTAAATAACTCATTTAAATATGTTGTCAAATTTGGACATAGTTACGTTTAAAGGCCCCCTTTTTTTAAAGCAAAGACACGCCCACCACCCTACCTTTGGTGCATTTGTTATATTGGTGTCATGACGTCGACTATGTGGTTTTAGAGTCATTTGCATACATGGTGCTGTTTCATTTAAAATTCAATGCAACGAATAAAATCAACCTGTTAGGAGGTATTCATGTTTAAAATAACCAATTACGTAGCAATGTTTTCGCAACAAAACTGAAATATGGTTAGATTTTGAAGCTAGTATGCTCTTGTGTTACCTATCCCGTGATACCCAATGATAGCATGTAAAAATAATAAAAATAAAATCAGTTAAACGGAGGTGAAGGCCGAAATTCATTACCACAATTTACAAAATACAACGCCCGACATTAGTTCAATGTCTTATTTCATTGGAATTCTGAAATGAGTGCATTTGAAATGAATAGATTTGAAATGAATAGATTTGAAACACCGCGATTAAGAATTGTCCTGTTGTATATATACAGAATAAAAGAGCGTGTTAAACACGTCTTCAAAAAGAAGCCAAGTGTTATTTTCCTGTTAAGCATGGGTTGTCACATGAACAAAGGTCCCTGAAAGAGTGATCCGCTTGTGCCCATTCCTAATCGCTTCTATAAATGCGGTCGTGCCATGTGCATTACGGTATACTGAGGTTTTGAACACTGTTAGGGTTTCTTGTGAGCACACGTTTACCGTGTCTTTACTTTATGGTATTTATGAATGAATTTCCGTTATTTTCTGTGCAAAAGTTTATCTATATGAAAATGCTTGATTACAAAAAGTTGTGTCTTTAATTCGTTTTTTTTTTTAACTTTTTATCATTTGTTGTAAATTGCATCCTGTCGATATAATGTATGATCTTAGGCCCCTGAGTATGAATGTCAAGGTTATATAACACAGATTGGCAAATGCTACGTTGTGGGGAATTCACACCAGTCATAAGTCCAACATTATGGGAATTCTTCACTATTGTGGGGATTTTGTTTTTAGTTCCCCACAATTACATATAGTATATTTTCGTTATCTTGTTGTAAATCTGAACTAAATGAGTCCTAACATGGAAAATTCCTCATAATACTATCACCGACTTATCACTTCACCATTAATTCTGTGTCTAGGAATCATGGGTAATTTTCCGTTCGGGATATCTTTGCTTTTTTGATAGGTGTTGTATGTTTTGGCGGGAAAAAATGGCGGGAAATGCAGAAACCTGTCTCATGTTATTTACTATCATTGTGAGGAAGTTATCTTATTCTTGAATTATTAATGAGAAAATACATACAAGTCACTTTACATAATATTTATTTCAAAATATCATCATTCGTATCCAGACTTCGAAGTTATTTAATCAGCCTATTCATATATACTTCTCACAATTTGATAGGGATCACACCTGATAATAAGCAAAATTTTCTTTTAAAATAAAATAATACGTATTCCTTATATTTGTTGGTTTATATATGTAACGAGGTCTATGTGTATCGGGTATTAATGTGGTCAGTCACCCGTAACGCCTACACTTCACGTGTACACGCACGAGCCTCCTACGTGCAGATTATTATCAATACGTTTGCGGCAGAATGTCTCGCTTTTTGCTTTACATTTTGAATTTTAATGGTTTCAAAATGCCCTGACAGCAGGCTAGAAGATGTCTAAGCACTTCAGATATGGACAGGGGCATTGGTATGATCCAGTCAAGTAGGTCACAAAGGGAGGTGGCCAATGACCTTGGTGTGTCCCAGAGTGTTGTGTCACGTATGTGGAATCGTTACCAAAATTATGGAACTGTCTCCAGAAGACATGGTGGAGGTCGGGAACGACTTACCTCGCAGCGTCAAGACCGCTATCTTGTTATTGCAGCTCGACGTCAAAGGTTCATCAACGCTACGTCACTACGTAATGACTTCCAGAATGCCACCGGAACTCGTATCTCCACACAAACTGTGAGAAATAGATTTCATGATGCTGGTTTAAGGTTGCGCAGACCTACTGTGAGAATTCCTTTGACGTTACGACATGTTCAAGCTAGACTTGCTTGGGTTCGTGATCATGTGAATTGGAACCTCCATGACTGGTCCCCCGTACTTTTTACAGACGAGTCTAGATTTTGCTTAGATTTCAGTGACCGACGTGCCAGGGTGTGGCGACTACCAAATGAGAGGTTCCATGCCGCTAACGTTTCCCAACATGAACGATACGGTGGTGGATCTGTTATGGTTTGGGGTGGCATTAGCACGCAAGACAAGACCGACCTTCACGTGTTCCTTAATGGCAGTTTGACTGCACAGAGGTACTGTGACGAAGTCCTGGACGTGTCCGTCAGGCCTTATGCCGGTGCTATAGGTCAGAAATTCATTCTTATGGACGATAATGCTCGACCACACAGAGCACTGAATAGTATCTGGAAAGGAAACAATTGAAAGGATGGACTGGCCAGCCCGATCTCCAGATCTCAATCCTATAGAACACGTGTGGGACATGCTCCAGAACGCTGTTTCGGCGAGAAACATCCAACCTAGAACGCTTCAGGAACTTCAAGCATCTCTCGTCGCTGAATGGACAAGTATTCCCCAAAACCGGATACGAGACTTGGTCAGAAGCATGCGCCGCCGCTGCTACAGCGTAATTGATGCTCGAGGACGTTATACTCGATACTAACACTGTATTTTTCGCTGAACGACACTGTTTCGCAGGACTTAATGTTTCGCATCTTTTGTCGTAATTTGCGATTTTCGGGGTATCTGTGTACAATGAGCATTGAAGCAAATTAACACTGTTATTCTTCGCTTGGTGTTGTTAAATCTGCATCTTATAATGCCGAAATATGTATAAATTGAACTGTAGAATATATCCTTAAAATAGATACGTTACACATTAAATAAAAAAGTGATCCCTATCAAATTGTGAGTAGTATATATTCCATCGGTAAGTGATTTTTAGAAATTGCTATTACATAAGGAACACATGTCATATTTTTTTTTTACAAAATTTGCGAATATTTTGATGTCCTTCCTTTCAAGTCCTTACATTGTTGTCCGGATGGTTGTGTTCCATATGCTTTAATCAGCAAATAAATCATGGATTCTGAGAGAAGCTTATAATTTTTATTGCATTTAGAATAACTATATCATCTGTGACGCTCAATATTGAGACATTTATTCTTGTATCAAATAGGATGTTATATGCAAATTGGAGATCGCACTACGTAAGAGTTGCTGGTTTGCTAATCTAATCATTTATATTATAATCGCATTACGTCAGTTCTGCATCGAAAGGATAGATAAAATCGTAGTGCTCCTAACGCTGCGACTGTCCCCAAAGTAAGCTACGACACTTTGATGAAACTGAATTGTGTTTGTTAAATGGTGGTTGTCGTTGGTGAACCATACGACACTTCTCTATTTCCTTGTACCTTCTACAAGGGTAAATCTTCCGTTTTGTTCACATTTAGTTTCAGTTAGTCCGATTTGAATGCGATGTCGTTGATATCACGCATGTAAGTTTAGTCCAGGACCACAAACTAAATGAAAGATGTTTTCATGATAGATCCAAGAGATGGAAAAGAACTGATTTTGCATTTTATATACTACATATCAATTGAAGGATAAGGATAGAAAAGGTGATCTACATTTTATTAGTTTTTATATTAAGCGAGACACAATAAGGACCAATTCTATTGAGTTTGATATCTTCAATCAGTGGATAGAAGGTAATGTATTCTCCTAAATATACTAAAAGGATAAAGAAACGCAGGGTGAACTTTAAACCAGAAATTAAGTATGATATCGGGCTTCATTTAAAACGAAATTTTGTATACTTACAGATAAATTAAAGCTTAAAAATTTCCAAAGTCTGTATTTTGCATCTGATAATTGGTTTAGAGGTACTAACGATTATTAAATGGACCCATCGGATATTGAAATTGAAATTGAACTGAGTCATCAATATCTTGTGTGTCCGCCGTTTTCTGTGGTCACGGCCCTTATTCCTCTGGTCATAGAGTTCATGAGAGCGTTAATCCGTCTTATGGGGATGTTGTCCCATCCTTCAATCAGAGCTCTAGTCAACTGCTCTCGAGTAGCAGGTGGTGGCTGGCGCTTTCGAACCTGTCTATCCAACTGGTCCCAAAGATGCTCGATCGGGGACAAATCAGGGCTATATGGCGGCCAATCTAGTGGTTGAATGTTGTTGTTGACCAGAAAGACTTGGCAAATCCTTGCTACGTGGGGCCTAGCATTATACTGCTGGAGGGTTAGATTATGCTGCTGTAAGAAAGGGTAACATGGGGTCGGAGGATCTCATCTCTATACTTAGCTGCTGTTAAATTGCCATCAATAACAACCAATTGTGATTTTAACACGTGTGAGATTCCTCCCCACACCATTACTGAACCGCCCCCAAACCTATCCCTCTCTACAACGCAAGCGTCCGTAAAACTTTCGCCACGACGTCGGTAGACACGTTGACGGCCGTCAGATCGATAAAGACAGAATCGAGACTCGTCCGTGAAGAAAACTTGTCTCCACAGCCTCAGTGGAAACCGTTCGTGGAGCATGTGCAGCGACCCAGGCCATACGACGCTGACGTCGAGCAGGGGTAAGGTGTGGACCTACGTAGGGGCGACGTGCTCTTACACCAACTTCTCGTAATCGATTCCTTACAGTTTTTTAACTTATAGGACGCCCATGATTTCCACGAACATGAAGTGCACTCTCAACGGCAGTAAGGCGCCGATTACGCACATGAGAGACGACGATATAGCGATCCTGACGTCGTGACGTTATGTGCGGACGTCCTGACCTAGGTCGATCGGCCAATCGCCCAGTTTCCCGAAGACGTCTTACAAGACGTTCTATGGTGGAAACATTAACACCAAAGTGCATAGCAACCTGATTTTGCAGCTGTCCTTGCATCTCCATCTGAATGGCCTGACCCCTCTGAACTTCTGTGAGTCGTGCCATTCTTAAAACGAATCAAATTCTCAATTAATTTTAGGGAAGCAGTTGGTCTGTATAAAGACTAACGAAGAGTGACTTGACCAACGCTGCATGAGACCAGAACAACACGGTGCACGAGATTCTTGTTTTTTCCTTCCTCCATTTACCAGAGCTGCGCACTGTACCGTGACTAACTTTTCGATACATTACAAGGTGCAATATGACCTAATTACTCAATCCACAAAGTTTCACTTTATTTGGAGAACGCGTTTTCAAAATATCGGAATAAATATTACCCTGCGTTTCTTTATCCTTTCAGTATATTTATTAAAGTATTTGATAACAGAAGTATTAGGAAATAAATAAAAATTGAAAAAAAAAATCCCCATGCATCTGAAGAGTGTTTTGCTCGCAGGTTGATAATTACCTTGCAACGGCATATTATAACAGCAGCTCTCATAAAATGTATGACTGTTCACATGTTTAAATATTTCTTAAGTAAAATTTTTAAAAAGTTGGACCGTTGTCATCATGTCATTATTGCTGTTGATATTTATAATGTGGACTTGTAGAATATGCAATAAATGTGATGTAATTGTTTTGTAAGTGCTGTACTTTTACAGAAGTGTTGTTATAATAACAGTAGATGTGGTAGATTTACATCTTTATCCTTGCAACATCAATCCAGCGACACGCGTGTTTCGTTAGCTCTATATAAATGCGTACAGGTAACATTTGTATTGATATTTATAACTACATTATAACCAAAGGCTTCTTCTACCATTGCGCTGCATTAGAACCTTACCTGCATATTATCATAGCGTAAACGATTAATAACTAAGTGAAGTGCACAGATATGAAATGGATGCTTTGTTGGTTGGTAAATGGTTTGTTGGTGTTGCTAGATGGATGGCCAAGGAACTTATAGTCCTGGCCATATGTTGATGTAACGTTATCAGAGTAAGTCTAAATCTCTGAAACAGACACGCATACAACAAACCAATTCCATCGGGGAACATGTTGGCAACATCTTATACACACACAAATGACATTAACACTTTCTTATTTTTCAGCATTAGGTAGATATTCTTGACGCATTATAGAACAATAAAGTAATGTGTATATATTTAGATTTCAAATACATCAAACAGAGACAAATACTTGATACGTTATAGTTATCATGATGGATTTTTATGTCTGCTGACTGCGTTGATATATACCTTGCCCTCATCGCGGAACATGAATATTTACATAGTGGTTGTCGTCGTATTAGACGCTTACATATACGGAACGCCTGCTCTTATACCCCGTGTATCATTACAAGAGTTTCCGTTTCAAACTTTTGTTCATAGTTTTCCCCTTCTTCTTGTCTGGTTATAACTCTGTTGACTGTTCTCTGTTGTTGGTTTTATTCATAAAACGTATATTGAAATAAACTTGAAATAGATAAAAAGCCATATAAAATGTACCTGGTATATTTGCCTATTTATGATACCACTATAAGCACACAAGTTTTCTCTCAATAGCTTGTAGCGGATCAAAGGTTTATCGCAAGTCTGATCGTCAAGCTTATAATATTTGCCGTTTTGTTGCGTCATTCTCTACAAACCTATGTGAACAGAAGTCATGACAGTCGCAATTAACTTTGCCCGTTGTGATGATAGAGTTACAAATTCAAGACGATTGAAGAATTGATTGCTTTGCATGTCTAATCTATAAGTCACATGGTTTAAATTAATAATCACTAATGCATACAATGAAATGCAATTTTTCCATTTATATTTTCACCAACAAGAAGGAAAAAAAAGGTTATGTCGCAGTGGCACTTCAAACGATTTCTCAATAACCAAAATGAAGTTCAGACCAGTAGCTTGTTATGTGAAGGGCTGTTTTGTTCGCGTGTTCAAATGAATGCATTGAGCATCGTTGTGGTCGACGAATAGAACATTTCAAAAATGCCATATGATTTCTTCTCAGTGCTGGCAAGTAGCATGCTGGGGTGAACTGCTTCGGAGTTGGGTCAGAAGATCCTAGGGGTAAAAAAATGTGATTACTGTAAACTAAATATGTGACATTATCCATATGTTACACTTTAGTGCTTACCTAAACCCGAACCATTGACAGAAACGTTATTTTAGTATTGTTTGTGTTTTATACACTTCTACTACGTTTTATGCTGTTCCGATATTCAAAATCGATTTCCAATATCTGGTATGACAATCAATTTGTCCGGAAAACCTTCTCAAATATAGCTCTGATAAAATCATGTGACAGTTTTTAAAAGGAGGTAGTTCATTTGTAAACAGGAGCAGATGATAGTGGAGACAGCGACATTAATTACACCGTACGTAAACGCTCGTTCTTCGCACTTACAACACGCCAAAAATCTTTTCAATAGCAAAATTACTTTATTTGGATATCAAACACCTTGAGACATGTTCTAGTATCGTGAATGTTCCTATTGGGTCATGTTTTTTATTGCAAACAACACCAACAATCTAACCTGTTGCTATACTTTTGCTCTTGCTTAAGCAGTTTATATAGGAACGTGTGCCTAGCGAAAATCTAGAGTTTTTATTTGTCCATTTGGCCGTCTTTCGTTCTGTTGCTGATGTCACCCTTTTCTACCGTTGCCTTATTCACAAGAGAAGATATCTTGTTTGGATGGAATGTGTGTCCTGCTCATGCATTATCATAAATTACACAAAAATTTACATAACCAATCTGTTCTGTTTCATATTATTGATTAGAATGTGTGTGTGCCTAGTTAAGCGAAAACCAACTGGCATTCTTCATAAGATGAAAAAAATTATATATGTACACGAATGCAATCCTAATTATGAAACAAGGGTGTCACATAAGGTCACAATATCGATTGAGATATATAATAATAGCTGCATACTCTCTTTTAAATCGGTCTCTTCACATATGGAGAAGTATGTTGATAAAGTGACATAGCATACATAACGTTTGCTACGGTGATAAAGTTCTACAATCAGATTACGGTACAGACGGTATATAAATGTTGTCTGTTTCTGACCTCAGTCACGTTGCAAGATAAGACTGCCAAGGTCTTATAAGCAAGTTATCTCAACACCATTATTCACACAAAGGAATCTGAACTGCTTGGTAGAAGGTGTCAAAAATGGGAGTAATCCTTTTGGTCTCCATCCTTGTATCTCTCAGCCATGGTATGGGTTATAATTAACACTGCAAATCTTGATTGTGATATTTGGTTGATGAATTGAATATTAATTACAATAACATAAATTCATTTTAGTGTGCGAATCGACCTTTACCTTAGCTGCTACTTACGCCGACCATATGGTTCTCCAAAAAGGCCGACGTGGGGCAATAGTTTGGGGGAAGTCCTCTAAACTAGGCGACACTGTTCACATAGCATTGAATGGCAATGAGGTCACCCAGACAAACGTCACTCACGATACATATGGCGGATACATGTGGATGGCAAAGGTTGTCATGGCTACAAATAACTACGGTCCTTACAACCTCACAGCCAGATCAAGTCTAGGGACTCTGATGTTACAAGACGTCATGTTTGGTGACGTTTGGGTGTGCTCTGGTCAGAGTAATATGCAATTTCCAATGAAATGGGTTTGTTTGATACTTAAACAAAGAAGGTAAACCTTGAAATGAAACAATTTCATATGATTTTATTTTTGAAATTTTTGACGCCATTTCACTAGTTCTCTTTCACTAGTTTTCACTAGTTTTGATATGTGACATCAAATAGAACAAGCGTGTCAAGAATAAATTCAAAATGTAACAATCAATCTGCTTCAGTGATTTAAGTAAACGTCAAGAGCAGGTTAGTTATATTTTTTAGTTTGATATTGAATATCTATACGAACATTCATTTATTCGAAGTAATACAAATTTCAGATAATTAATGCGACCGAAGAATATGCAGATGCCTCAAACTACCTAAATGTACGTGTGTTTAGGGAGGCCTATGATCAATCTAATGTGTCTCTTGAGGATTATAGACCTGTCATCCCATGGGCGATACCAAACGAGAGTAAGTCTGTATTTTTGAGCTTGTATATATATATATATGTGCTATTGTGACTTTTGTATAAATGACTAGTGATGATAAAGTAGACAATATCACGTTGTTGTTGAAAAAATTGAAAAATATAATTCAAGAACCATTCTATCTACCTAAATAACAGGTTAGTACCAGAGGAGGAACATGCTTATACTTGAGCAAATAACTACTGTACTTGCTTTCTTTTCAGTTTCTTTCTTTGCGTTTGGCATTGGCCACAAATAGCTGTAAATTATACTTTCTCTGATATATGAATGTTTTCATGCTGACTAAAGTTATAAGGAATCAATCGCTGTGGATAATAATTGATTAAGAATCTCGAAAATTTCATTTCTTATTTCCAGGTGAAATATATTTTAATGTGCTTAATTTTGAATTGCATCCGTTTCCTTTTTGAGTTTACATCTGCATCATACCATAGTTTCTATAGACGCATTTTGGTTCGTGCATTGAAACTGTTAAAAATCAAGCCGTCAGTTAGAAAATTTCGATCACTTTACTTATTCTGCCGACGGTTTGTTCCAGCCTGTTCTATGAACATCTAATATATCAGCATTCGTTACCAAAGACTTTGTCATTAAGACGTTATTGTCAATTAAATCATTGATTTGAATCTTTGATAAGAATGGCGAAATCATAAGATGCAATTAAGTTTTGTTTTTGTGAAGTTGATATGAGAGAAGAGTCATGCATATTTATCATAATGACCAAACAACTAATGCCATGAACTGCATGCTAAATGCATTTCTTAACGTGTTCAACAGCCCTGAAGTTGTAATTATCATCTTTACAGAGCTAATTGGTTATATATTAAACGTCAGATGCGTTACTTATCTCAGTAAATATATTAGATATTGATTTACAGATACGCTCACGCTATTTTCTGCTGTTTGTTGGTTATTCGGTAAACGATTGTCATCTGAATTCGGATATCCAATCGGTTTGATTGAAACAAATGTTGGAGGAACAAAGATAGAGTCCTGGTCATCATCTGACGCTTTGAAGGCATGTCCGTCCAGAAGGAGGTAGGTATACGTTCATACCGTCGTAATAAAAGACTAAAGTGACTTCTACAATGTTATGTAATTTCATGCTATGTCTCTCTAACCTATTCAAATATACGTCTTTTGTATGTGGACGAAAGATTGACAGCACATTCCGCCCTCTGGAATGGGATGGTGACACCACTTCTCCGAAATACTATATATGGTGCCATATGGTATCAGGGTATGCTTTAATTTTCAAAGTGTGGCATATGTATCAATATTAAGTGTCGTAGTCATGACAATACGGTCACCTCATGCGTTATGATTCATACATGATATCAAAATAAGATCAAAGTTATTAATGAATCTGTCCGATGTTTGACACACGCGATATAAATCAAATGGGACGTGCTAATATAGATGGTAAAATGTTGACGCTTTTCTACGTTAGCAAAATACAAAATATCAACATGTCAATACCAAAATTAAAGTAAGATATGAACAAAAGAAAGATTTACACGTAGACTCTTGACAAAAGTACAAGGAGAATAAGACCAGGTGTTCCGGAAGAGTAATCGTCTTCTGCTTCATTTACGACAACCACAATGTGGATCTTGGTCGATCCGAGTAAGTAATCGCACGTTCTCAAATGAGAACAAGGTATACAACAACGGACCTAACAGGCAAACTAACGAGCATCAAATACTTGTATCTGACAAAGAAATAAGAATGTAATATTTCTCAATGAGTCAATAGGATAGATAAAGAGATTTATTAAATCCTTCGGCTTCAACAAAATTTCTAATATGAAATGCATCAGAAGATGTATAAGTTACTAATATGGTGCCATGTTTAATCACTTAACTACTAGTTAATTCATTTGTAAATGAAGACTTTTTCATTCCATTTGTCGCAAAGGTGAGTCAAATATCAACGAACCAGAACTTTATGCCTGTCAGTTTCCAGCTATGATATCAGACTGGAGACATAAGTTCAGCGCCGCTTCACTACACACGACTTCAGCAAACTTTCCATTTGGCTTCGTACAAGTAAGAGCTCCAAGCATTGTTTTATGATATGTAGGGGTATCTCATTTTAATTGTTCCAATCTTACATCGATATTTTCTTTATGTATTTATTGGGTCAGAGAAGGTTGTGCGTTTCACATATTCAAAACTACATAACTATATAGGTATGAATAATATTAGCAATTAGGCAAACGTTACCATGAGACTGTAAAGAAATCAGGCCATCTGGAATGTCAGCAGTAGTAACACTGATGTCACATGGGTGTTATAGAGTTCTATATTGTGGTTAACACTCTCAGAATGCAGAAAAAAATTCTACAGACGAAAAAACGTCCCGCTGAATATCAAAACTGTAAAAAAAAAAGTGCATATATAGATAGTATAATATACATGCTTAATCTTGAACCTCCTAATGTCAACAGCTTGCAGCTAATAAAAATAATTCGTTGGCCACTGGTTTTCCGTCCTTACGTTGGTCCCAGACTGCTCAGTATGGAAAGGTTCCGAATACGAAGATGCCAAATACGTTTATGGCGGTAGCAATGGATTTACCCGATTTTGGCTCTCCACGCGGAAAGTAAAGTATCAACTTCATATTTGGTATCCACCAGTATTTCACCAGATATCAACTAAAAGTAATACGGTCTCAATTAAATATTCATAATTCTAAAAACAACAAAGAGATGCCAACATCTCAACATTGTAAAAATCAAAACTCAAATTCAATTAAATTAAAATTGAAATAAAACGAAATATTTACACATACAATCCAGAAATGTTCCTTAAGAGTAAGCATTGTTTGCGAAATGAAACTAACGAGCATCAAAAGACAACCGTGAAACGTCCCCATAATGTTCATGAAAATCATCATTTGAAAACCAGTGTTATGAGTTTTTTTCCGTCAGTTGACGACAACTTGCACCAAAAATTGCGATGATGGGAATGGGCAATTGAATAGTGAATCAGCTGCAACATGTAGACACCATAGAAAATTTGATTAAGACATTTTTAAAATAATTCTATTTGGTCATGTTTTGCATTGCACTATCACCTTGCTTTCGTAAAAAGGGGCCTGTATTTGATCCTTCCGACACACGTGACATCGGATTTTATTAAAACTCATAAATTGATGGTTAAAAATATTTCAAACAGTTTGTCTGTGTTAACCTACTGACCAACTTTCAGGAACGGATTAATATTAGGTGTAACTTTTATAAATTATCAATAAAAATGTGTAGCATAATGATCAAGCATTTTAGTAGTCACATCTCACTGTATTATAGCTGTTTTGCAGATATCTAGATTCATCTTTGTGTACTTTAGTAATCAAGTAGATGTGCATCCTTTTCAAATTTCTAAGGATCGGGCTTTCATAGGTTTTGCCTGTTGCCTAACTCCTTTCGCAATAACGCCTCTGCAACAAAAGTGAAATGTAACAATAGTGACGATTAATAATAGTTTGAAGCTAACTGTTTCAGTATACATCCCCGTTTTAAACATGATGTGGCTTCCCGTCTGGCCTTGTCAGCTCTCGGTGTGGCGTACCATAAGACGGAATTAAACTACCAAGGTCCGTACCCATCGAGTTTCACTAATGCTCAACACTCCTTGAATATAGAATATGACAACGGACAATCACCAATCATGTTGACTATCAACGCTACCAGGACTGTAGGTGGCGCAGAATTTGAGGTATATTAGGAAAGAAAAAAAATATCACTTTTCATATTATTTTCATGAAGTTAATATATCATCATATTTTTATATTATCTTATTATTGTGTTTTTATTTCTTTATTGATTCGATAAAACAGGTGTGTTGCTTAGATCACCAATGCCCCCTTACGTACCAACACTGGAAATCAGTCCCGATTGTATCACATGGAGTGTCATCCGTTACACTTAATACAAATACATGTGGTATCGCAAAAGTGGCTGCGGTACGATACGCTTGGAGGGAGAGTCCTTGTGCATTCAAGCAGTGTGCAGTGTACGGAAGAGAAAATGACCTTCCTGCACCGCCGTTCTATCACAGTTTTTTCTAATGTGCTAATAACCAGGAAATAATAAACTTTTACTCCGCATTATTGGTGATGGTGTTGGTCTTGTTTTCTACACGGCAAATGAGCATATTTTTGAACGTTAACTAAGTCTAGCAATTTGTCCTACAATTATTTTTCATTCACATAGTCTTTTAGGTTGATAAAACAGCATGTCTAGTTCTGGAAACGTACTTAATTTTAGCGCAATATCACTTTTCCACAAAAAAGCGCAAGGATTAATTTCTGCATCATACAGAAAAGGTTATAAGCGCAACTCTAATTTAGCGCAATGGTTTCAGCGCCAATACCGTTAAAATAAGATTATCTCTTAAATATGAACGTTTACAGTTTGCCCATCAGGTTTGCAAATTATCAAATTCTAGATATGTACATATAAGTAGATATGTTCATACGTAAGATAATAAGGGTTTGTATATGACGTATGAGGTACTTCTCAACAGAGAAGAATCTTGTAATAATGGACATTTATGAATCGGTTTCCTTGGATGATTTGCGGTTAAGTATATTCTATCTTGTTCGCTTCATTTGGTTTTATTTAATTTAACACGACATGATAAGTCCTAGAAACTAAACTACAATAACGGAACATCCAAACTTAATTTTCTTATACATTTTCAGCATCCTCTTTCTTATGTCATACTTAGCCATTGTCGCGACGATTTTAGTTCTTATTACGATGTCGGCTGAAACCGTTTTGTCCGTTTGCATACTTGGTTGTGGCTTGTCTTCATTGATTTCCACGTAGGATTTTTAGTTTGAATTAGTATACTCTTTGTATATTGATAAACTCCTTATTTTTTTCAAAACGTTTTATCAAAACTTTTCAAACAAAAACTTTCATACTAATGTTTGCATTTCATACTTACCAAGAAAAAAACATTGCTTGCAAGTGTTTCAATAATACAATACCGAAGTATGGTTATAGATTCAAAGTTACCAGCGGACAGTATTTCTTAAATAGCGTTCAATGATAAAAGATGAAAAGAAAAACATCAAATATCACATTATACTATACAGGTAAAATTTTCACAAAATAGCAAAATACCTTCAATCACAGAAACTTTATGGTTATATTTACAATTATTATATAAACTCATGTTAGCATTGGTCTCTGTGTCCACACACATGTACAAGGTAATCCTGTTCGATTATTTCTACATTAGCAACCGATAGCTTCATATTGGTGATAAGAGTCATGTTCTTATACCTGCAAAGTGAGGCAGTTATGTGATACTGTGAATTTTATTTGTTCGAACACTGAGTAGTATATAAACAAAAGAAACAAACGTAGTACATACTTGTCTGGCATGTTACGTAATCATGCTAATTTCAGATGACGCTTCTTACAGGAAAAAGATATCCGCAGGAATGTCCAAGAATGAGCATGCTGAAATATATTCGGCCATTGGGGACATTACCCTTGGAAATTTGGGTCAAACTTATCTTTCTTCTTTATTGTTTCTTTTCCTCTAACCTGGGATATTACCCCCTCGGAACCTGACTATTTTAGTAGACATGCTATTATAGAAACATCATACAATGGAGACCGTTATTGTATAAACATATACAGTACACACAGTACGACTGAAGAGAATGAGCTGAGTATCTAGTACTCATATGGATGATATACCGGAATATCACCTCGATTGGGGTATGTTCATTCACAGCGGACCTAAACGTTTTTTCTGTGATATTATTTTTCATCAAAAATAATGTGTATTCATTGATGTAGATCCTTTGCCCACGATGTTGGTGTTTGTTGTTGTAATGCTGTTTGTTATTCATGTGTTTAAATATTTATATTACGTTGTTTGTTTAGTCTATAAACACCTGGTTATATGTATATCGCTTTGATATATATCTTGGACCAAGTATACAATTATACAGTAGTAAGTGATCATTACGGAAAACACTTGATAATTTTTAGGACTTCTAATAGTCTAGAAAGTCAGATCGAATCTTTACTTTATAACAAGACTAAGTCCCCGAGGTTTGCCGTAACCTGATTGCATCGTTTTAATTCATTTGAATAGTAGCACGGTTAAGAAAATACACATGCACTTGACGCTGTTTTAGAATTATCTGAAGTATGAAAGTTACGAAATTCATTTGAAATGTATTTTGTCATAGTACTTTTGGATTTTCCATAGGCGCCTCGTGGGCTTCATCATTTAGGTTATTAACAACACTGGCGAGTTCTAGAAGGACGAAACAGCTGTGTGATTCAGTTTAATTCATTGATTGGCTCTACTGTATATTACTCTAGATTATAAGATTGTATTCACATATATCTTTGTACTATCTTTCTAATGTAACGACTTTCATCTTAGGTGAAAATACATAAAAAGATAGTGGTAATGACATGTACTTTAAGCATTTTAAGAAAACCCTACGGAGCTTCCTATTTTCATATTAATATAATTAGATATCAATTGTAATCAAGGTATCTGAAAAGAAATCAAAATTATTCATATGAAGTGAGGAATGATATCAATTTGGTTTCAAATCAAATTTAGTGTTTTAACCATGTTATGATAAACTCTCTTAACACAACAACGATTTACTGCACGTTTATCCAATTGTTGTTGACAGTAGAAGGTAGCTTGTAATTGCAATTTTTCTCTTTCACAGACGTTAATATACTTAGCGAATCGCTTTTTCTGTAGCATATAAAGTTTGTCGTTTCTCAGTAAACATTGACAGAACAGGCTGGTAAGGTTCATTCAAAGTTAATTTGCGATATCTTCCACAAATGTATCAAGCGCATTTTAATTCAAACACTGAGGCGTGATCTCAAACTTAGCATTAATTAATGCACAACAAAAATGACAACACAAACATTTAACATTGCCATCAATGACTAGTAATGTCGAGGTTAACCTGTTAATTATCAATGCAAAAGCTTGTACAAGACAGTGAGCCAAGCGCTTCAGTTTGCTCGGCGACTGATCCGTTTACATACAGATTGTTCATGTAGTTCCATTCCTCTTCCCCTCCTTCATTAATTGCACGACATAACACTAAATCCTTGACATCGCAACGCAAAACAATACGGAATGTTTCTCAACTTGTGTTTCTTGTGTCAATTTTCAATTTCGATTAAAATTTGTCTAACGACAGCTAAATCTTAACAAGATTTTTTCAAAACTCTCAGTTTCAGATAAAACCTTATTTTCAACAAAGAAGATATCGACTTGGTTGTTCCTTACGAATCTTTCACGTAGCTAAACGGTCACACCGATTTGTCTTATTCCTATTTCAACGTATACACACTAAAATTACGAATACAAAACTACTACAGACTTGGTTTATAGTTTCATACGCTACCCTAATCGATACTGTATCCAAATGGGTACCTTGTTACGGAAAAAAGTGTCCGTCAAGCCTTGTGAATGAACTATGCAGGAACTCATATGGATATTGTAAAACACCAACATCTTACTGTTCATTATACACTGATTGTAGAAAGCGATTAAGTTTCTCTGTTCTGCGTATGGCACCACTGCAAAAACGCAAGGTGCTTGAAGGAAAACCCCGATATGCTCTTCGTGACATGAGGGCTGCTTCTGCTTCAGCTACGAAATCTTTGAATAACATAACTTTATAATATGTTTATGTTAAATCTTTGTTTTGATATGACTTTTTTTATTTTTGAAATTGATTTTTCACTGGAATAATCTAAATACGTGTATGTTTAAAATATACTTATTTATAGCTTAATTTCAGTGTAACAATGTTTAATGAAGGTTTTAATTTCCGATGTACATTGGAATTCTTCTATGCCATTTGACCTTGCCAGTAAATGAAAACTCAAAACGAACATATGTACATGACTGGGGCAAGTAACAAAACACTTAGCGCAGATACAAAGAAGCTTAGATTTTATTTCCAAATTCAAGTATAAGTAATTAATATCACTCGAAACTGCTGTTTGCAGTAATCAATGATATTTAATGACAAACTCAAGATACAAAAAACTGTATAGGATAATGAACAGAGCCAAATGAATGCTGAATGTTGTTTGAAAATTAATTCAGTCACATTGTAACCAGCTGATGATGAGCTCCACACATGTCAAAATTAGAAGACATCTTTGATGCATAAATAAGATATAATTCTCAAAGGGCGAAGAATTAGTTGCATTGGTGAAAACCAGCCATTCCATAAATTATTCTTGAATGATGTGAAATGCCATCAAGGAGTGATATAGAGAAAATAGCAAACACCTGTTTTTATGTCCATGGAAAGCACTTCCCCTCCTTTACCCTTTCCTGAATCTGAAAGCAACAACGCAATGTCTTGGTTAGACAATGTAGTCAGGAACTTTCATCTTTACTTGATGTTATCATATTTGATACATGTACTTCATTATTAAGACAGAACAAGTTTTCAATATAAGGCATTCTTTCATATTACAGACTACACCTATAACACATTTTGTCTGTGATTGATTATCTCCTTTGAAAGTTACTTTCTACATATACTAAGTAATATGATACATAATGGAGGCAGATACTCTACCTCTGTATCTAAGATATCATATCTAAATTATTTTATACACATTAAAGTATAGATGTTTTATGAATTCGATACATATGATATAATTGTATATGTCATTTTAGGACAAAGTATACTTCAATAATGACCACATCGATCTATTCAGAACAGCTTTTCGATACATCACATTCAGCAGCAGCCATATGCATGTATATGTTTCAGGAGATAAACGTTTTATCAATTTTGTGCAATTATAAGACAGTTATACGAATGGAGAAAAGTATGATACCTGAATTATGAAAGGTACCTAAAGATTGTATTGGCAAATGTTGCATATATTGAAAGAAAATAAGCGTTTTCAGACATGCTATGAAACAAATAGCATCTTGGTGGAAAAACAAAAATGTCACAAAAATGTTATATCTGTTTGTACCTAATTTTGGTATGAGAGTATTGTATCAAGCATGCTATCAAACATATTGTGA